ATTGGTTGGTAAATAAATTTAAATAAATAGAAATAGAGTAATGGAAAAAAGAGGATAAAGGTTGATAAAAGTTGGTTTAAAATAATGAAATATAAGAGGAAAATGAATAATTAGAAATTTTTAATGTACTAGTAGGAAATGAGGTGGAATGTTTTAAATTATTTATATATGTTTAAATTTTAATAGATGGAAAATTTCATTTTTGATTACTTTTTCATTTTTTATTATTATGATTTAAAATCTATTGTTATAGGGATATATTATGAATTGAAAATAGTACCACTAATTTTCATATTCAAAAACATTTATATCGAATTCATAACTGTATTGTTAATTATCGCTGCCTATAAATTTGATAAATTTTGTGATTGACTTTTATTCAAGATCTATACAATCGTAATGTAAAAAGTTTAAACTTTTTGATTCTTTCCCTACCGAACTAAATAAATGATAGCAATTGCTAATTAAAATCCCTGCAGATGTAGAATAAATTGTAGTCGTTAAGGGAAGGTATTAAAACCAAGAGCTTTGCTTATATACTACTCCTTCACTTTTAATTGCTTCTTAAATTGAAAATTCTGTTAGAAGGTATGGTTTATCAGGACTTAAAATATACACATAATCAGTTAATACAGTTTTAAGAAAAAAGGACAGAATAAGGACTATTTTCATATTTAATTATTTCTAAAATAAATTATGAATTTTGTGGACATAATTCTAAACTTAAGAAAATTCTAAAAAATGTCATCAAATTTAAACAAACCAAAAAAAAATTAATTAGATGAGAAAACATATGCTTAAATTCTTCCATTACTCCTTCTTTATTTTTTTTATAACTTCCTATTAAATTAAATCATAGGTTTATATAAATCAAAATTTTTAATTCAATAAATATTAATTCTATAGAGTTTTTAAATGAGTTGAAATTTGGCACAATCTTATTTAAAGTATTGAAGGATAAAGTGATGAGGATGAAGTTAAAAAATTTATAATATAACTTAATAAATTACCCAATTACATTATTATGTATATATTAAAATTTGAAATAGAAACCTATTTTTAATTATAACTTTAAAATGATAGAAAAATGTGGGGGTTAGAAACTCATGACATAATGTAAAGATTATACTTTCTTCAAATAGTTACAATCCACGTTCTTATCTTCATTGGACCAACTTCGTCATCCTTATATTAATAATTTTGTTTTTTTGGATAACTATCGCTCCATTCTAAATTAAAAAAATCATCTACTTAATCGATTAAGCTCCCACATCTTTAAATCTTAATTGCCAGTCAAAGTTGTTTCTAAGAATGATAATCCTTTAAGGAAATTTAGTTTTTAAATGCCCTCTTCCTTCATGTTGTGAACTCTTACTAAATACTAATTATTTTATAACCAAGGCTCTATGTATAATTTGCTCAAATTTTTATCGGACTGTTTGATTAAAAATCCTTAAAATAAATCCAATAGAGAAGAATATTGTATAAAAGGTTATGTTGAAAAATAGAGTAAGGGTTATAAATCTTATTTATATTGATGTTCTCTTAATAGATTTGGTTGTTATTGATGATTATAGAAAATGATTGTATGTGATATCATTTATCTAATACCTACTTTTTAACCCTTATCTATTTCTTATTCATCCAAAACTTCAAACAGTCCTTTGTTATCATCACGTACTAATCTTCTCTACAGCATTAATTCAATAACTCCTTAGTCTAAACTTGATCCTCCTTAAGCTCTGTCATTTAGTACTGCACAAGCAGAATTTCCATCACTATTCATGATCATAATAGCACCGTTGACAGGAAAATAATTACCAGCTATTTACTCTTTCATTTTTATGTTCCATGAATCCCTGTGATTTATCCTTCGTTTTTAAAATTTGAATCCATTGCTATCAGTATAAAATATACCATCATTTGAAATATCAGTTTGAATTTACAATATGATTTCTTTACCAAATTAATCAGAAATATCTATGGAATCTAAAAATGTGTCAATAGAAAATAGATCTTGATTTTCAAATCTTGTAATCCAGACTTTTAGTGTTGTTTTTTCCAAATATATTTATTAGATTATTTGACCAGAAAATTCAATTGCTTAGAGAAAATCACCATAATCAGAGGCATTCAAATTAGGTCTAAATATATATGCTCCACTACTTAAACTTGACTATTTTGATAAATAAACTTTATAATATAGGTGAAATTTATCAAATATTTTTGTATTCTTTTAAATTTCAATAACTTTTGGTTCTAATTTCATAATTTTTGTATCATTGTCAAAATCAACCATTATTCGAATATAATGTAACAATTTTTCATTATTTACTTTTCTAGGTAAGTATAGAGTGCATCTCTTATTTATACAAATAATTTCTCCATAAATGGAATTTTCATATTCATCCACAATTTTTATGTTTAAATTTGTGGGAATCAGCATTTTCAAATAATCATTTTAGCCATCATTATTTATTTTTATATCAATAATTGTTACAATAATAGTTTCGTTTTGACTAAGAGGATCAAATAAGGAATCACATGAATTTGATTCATTAAAATAACATTAAACATGTGTTATGCCTGAAGTATTTTGATAAAATGATTCAAGAAAATGAACTTACTTTGATTTTCCCATTTTTTCAATTGTGCTTAAATGAATTCAATTTCAAAGTAATGCATTCATTACACATATATATTTTCGCAGTTCCCTGTGATACGCATCATAGATGTATAGGGCTGTACCCAATATGCTTTCAGATATAATCTTTAAATAGCTTGGTTTCATCAAAAATACTTTGACTAATATTATTCATTTTAACTAATGAATAAAAGCGTTTCACTTACTAAAAATAACGACCCATTCTTTTTACATACCCCTTAAAAGCGGGTCTGCTAGAGAAGAATCCAGACCAATATTCAAAAGGATGATCAGAATAAGGAAGAAAGTCTTCCTCTTGAAAAGGATATGAAATATTTTACTAATTCAAAGCTTAGATATATTGTTTTGGAGTTCCATATTCGATGATCATATTATATTTTTCTGTATTATTATTAATCCAATTAATAACCAGATCCATTTATTAAAAGTAACTAGAAGCATTCGACCATTCAAAGTCCATACCAAGAGTATGTGCTAATATTTTACCTCTGTAGGATTTATATTATTATTTAAAATATTAATCAAGTCCTTCAGATTTTTATTCCACATTTTAAATAGAAACATAATTTCTATTGGGATTGGAAATATCAAAATCGAATCCTTTCGGGGATGAATAATACCCATAATAATTAACATGCGTAAAAATAGAGTGTGCATAATCAGGATGAATAACGAACTCTAATTCTTTATTTTTTTCTCTTTTTATTCGATCTTCATGGTCAATTCTTCCGAAAAACCAAGCATTAAAACCCATCATATTTGAAAAGAGTGCTTGAGTATTAGAATGTCCAAAAGTATCAATTTACCATCCAATAGTGGGTATATAGTTAAAATTTTCTAAAAGAAACTTATGTCCTAATGTCATTTAGTCAATAATATCTTCATAATAAGTTGTTGCTTCGTCATTCATGCACCATCCTCCACTCAAAAATTCTAGTTATTCATTTAATATTAATTATTTCACATTATCTTTCATTGTATCATTCTATTCATTCCACCACCTATTTCTATATTTTAGATTTACATTTTAAAAAATGCTACTTCAACTTATGAAAAATACTTGGATTTATCTTTGATTAGTTCTTCCATGTATGAATTAATTATTTATTTGACACCATGGTAATCATAGTAATATTCATTCATTGTTTTAATCCATCCAACATCATCATGCGAATGAGGAAACAAATAAACCCTAAGCAAATCAGATCTTATTTAGCTTACTTATCCTAGATAATTGCAATATGTATTTAATATAAGAATTAAAATTAATAACATAATAAATTTAATTCTCTATATCCTTATATTTTTTACATTATCAACATAGATATCAATGAGTAAAGTATATTTTATTTTATTGTAAAGCTACAAATTAATCTTGGTTTTTAGAATACTTAGAAAATATCCTCATTTTCAGTATGATTAAAGTTCATTTTTGCTTTGAGTTTTTTGAGGTTTTCTGAAAGTAATATATGTCATCAAGAATAATAAAAAAACAATAACTTAATACTTAATTTTAATTTTTGTAAGACATTATCAATCATTTAATGTATTAACCAATATTACAAAATTAAGAATTAATTATTGGACCCCCTGAAATTCCTATTTCAAGTAAAACATTAAGCCATTTTAGTTGAATATATGGCATAATAGCCTTAGTGTCAATCTTTGATTTCAAACTAAGATAAAAGGAAATTTTTGGTTCTTTTGATGTTGATTTGCTTTTGCTAAACTGGCTTAGAACTTGCAATTGCTTTAGTTTGTGCTTATTCTTAAAATATCAAAGATTTGAAGCTATCCTTTGCCATACCAATGTTTATTTTTCTAATAATAGCTTAGTTACTATTATTGCAGATAATAAAATCAAAACCATAAATTAGGAATGTAATAAACAATAGATAATTAGACTTTATTCAAAGAAGTTTTATTTATTCTTCTATATACAACAATAGTTACCTCATCTATCTGTGTTTTCGGAGTAAGATTATTTTACAATTCAATTCTAATATTTGGAATCATTTTACTCTATATTTGTCTATTATCCTCTTATTTTATAATGGGAGTTTACTTTACGTTTTACGAAGATCCGACTATTAAATGTAATAAAATTCACTAATTTAGAAACTTTAGTATCATCAATGATATTTCCTTTGATAATATCAATTATTTTCATATCTCTATCGTTTAATTTCTAAAATTGTCTAAATGATTTTTGTGTTAAAAATGAGTTTTCAGTAATGATTTTTTATATTTTTGTATTTTTTTTGTATCTTGGATTTGCAACATCACAGGTAATTAGCTTATTTTAAATTCTAAATGGAAAATTTCGATTATAAAAGGATCAATTCATAGTAGCCAATTTATTGCTATTTTACAATACGTTGTTGCCCTTTTTGGAGTGATAATATGTGTGTGTTAATATTTGAGATTGATTTTAAAGATTATAATTATAATATTATCTTGATTATAAAAACATGTAATATTAAATCAAGAAAATATAGATTTGTTCTAATTTTTACATGTGCTTCCTCTAACTTATTAATTCAATTATTCATCAAAATACGATATTAATAGCCTGATAACAATAAAATTTTCGATGCAAAAATTAAAAAATATTATTACTTAATTAAATAAGAAATAGAATTACAAATTTTATCCATATAATAAAGTTGTAATTTAATTATAAGAGAGTTGTAAGTTAAAGTGGTTATATTAAAAATGCCACCAAAATTAAGAATAATTTATATCCATTATTGATAATTTAAAGGCATGTATTTAGTAGAGATTTATTTGTAATTATTAGTAAAGCTATAGAGGAATTTGATTATCATCCAATAAATGTGAATTCTAAATAGCTTTATTCTGTAATTTCAAATAAGGGTAACAGCTAAAAGAAATATGAAGTAAACTTAAAGGGGAAATCATTAGAAAAAAATATTATCAATAGTTAAAATTTCATCAATTTTTTTTTCAACTCCCCTTGTTTTAAACCATATTCATAATTTTGTATATATTAAACAAAAGATGAGCCAAAATTTCTATCAAAAAATTTTCATCTAAATCAGTCCATATGCCATTCTTATACCTTTCTCATCATAATTTCCACCTACACTAAATTATTTTTAAATTAATCTCTTACAAATGCTGCTCAAATTAGACAACTGTTTTCTAGTATCCAACTTTGATACCTGACTAATATTACATTCATAAGATATTCCGCAAAAGCGAAATTATTAAACAATCATACCAGCTGAAATTGTCGTGCAAATATCTCCATATACCATACTTTTATTCTAACTCATTACAAATTCCTCCAGTACTTATAAATATTTTAAAATATATATTAAGATAATTTTATTGCTATAAATAGTATTCCAGAGTCCTAGTCTTTTTCCATTTTTATATTATTCTTCTTTAGTAATTGAACACGAACTAGGATAAATTTTGAAATAAAAACTACCAAAAGTTCTAAATTAACTCTATCCATTTTGCCTATTTAACTCAATTCTCATCAAACATGCCTTGTCCCCTTTGGATTACATATATTCATACATAAGTATTTTCAATTAGTAAAATATTGCCTATACCTATTCCTTTTCCCATTTTTATTAAATCAATGAAAAGTAATTTCAAAGTGAATTAGAAATTAATTAAAAATGTACCAATTAAAATTTTCATGAACTTCAACCCAATTGCCAATATTTTATCCTTATTCATCATAATATCCTCCTCCACTTAAATAACATATTAAAATACATGATTTCATCCGTATACTCTATTATCCATTTTTCCAATTTTGGTCCCATTTGAATATTGCCCAAACTTGACTGCAAATATGCTACTAATTAAAACTCAAATTTGAAGTACAATATTTTCTCAGAATATTATTAATTGGTAAATTAAAGCATCAATATTTAACACATCAGTACCGCTGGTTTGTGTCCCAATATCCAGTTTTTCACTCCATCATTTTCGTAATTTCCACCTCCACTTAACTTTAAAATCATTTTTACAGAGGCATAAAGTCAATATGCCATTAATTTCTTTACAAACTGCATCTCAATCTCCAATTTTTTTACCATTATTATAATTTCCAATCCAAAAAGCAATATTCAAGCTTTATATTAAATTTATATACTTGAATAACGTATTATTTTCTAATTCTGACCACTTTCCAATCTTAATTCAAATTCATTATAAAATCCACCCACGTTAAATTTTGACCTTTCCATTTTGCCTTCCAACCCCCTATACATTATTCCTAGTCTCCTATTTCTCCTTCCCTTTATAAATGTTTGACCTACTCAAGATCAAATATAATTTTAGGGAATTTTAATATCATTGATTAGACATTTATATTATATTGAAGTTGATATACAAAATATTGATTAAACTATTTTAAAGAGTGTACCTAAGATAACCATTTTAAATAGTGAATAAAGAAATCTCCTTCATGTTGCATTCCATAAAAACAATATTTTCCTTTTTATTTATATAATCCTTCATTTATGAGTGTAAGATCAATATTTCCAAAAAATAATTTTATGCATAGTATATCTGACTAAATTAATTCATTGAATAAATATTAAATATCTATTGAATCTATCGAAATTATTTTTGACTGAATTATTCTTTAATAAATAAATAAGTATTCAAACATTTATAAACAGAAATAAATAACTGTTAATAAAACAACAATAAAATTTTAAATATTATTTAAAAGTAATTCTTGAATACCCCAATATTAATCGAAATTTCTAAGTATTATTAACTATTTTACAAGTATATTATAATGCCCTTGTCTTGAGGATGAGGAGAATTATATATTAGAAAAATAATTGAATATTTAATTCACAAAAATGAAACGATAATTGGATCAATTATTTATAGACATAAATAATATTAGGGATGAAGAAAGGTTTAAGTAAAATCAAATTTTTTCTTAAATTAAAGCCACTGCTTTAGAATAAGAAACTCTTCTTGTTCATCCAATTATCATATTTTATATAGAAGTCCTCATGTAATTTAGAAGTTAGAAAGTGCATTAAATAGAGTTAAGAATCGAATCATTAGTTGGGTAAAATAAATTTATAATGAATAAACAAAACATTTAAAACGAGATACAAAATGGTTTCTATAATATTTATAAACAGAATAAAATACATTTAAAATTATTATAGGTTACAGTGCGAGATTAGAATGACTTTTAAGCATTCAAGGCAGCTTTTACTTAAATATCAAAATATTATAAAATTACTAAATATATAATTGATTTTCCCATCTCGAAAAAGTCAGAAGATAAATTTTGATTTTTGCAAGAAATGAATTAAATCAAAAAAATTTATTATCTAATTCTAAAATAATAATAATTATCGTCTAACATGTAATATAAATGATCTAATTAAAATGTTAATAAAAGATATATTTAATTATGAATCAATTTTAATTCTAATTAATGCAAACTTCTTTCGTTATTAATTTTAAAAATACCTCACATGCTTTGTTTATCATAGTTCACATACTACGCAAAAAATGTGCCACAATCCATACTAAGTCTTATTATTTTTATAAATCTCTTTTTACAAAACCAAATATGTCCTCATACTTTGGCACAGACTGAAATTAGCAGATCCTTTTTCACTCCCTTTAATTCAGATGACAGTAATTTTCTCAATATTAAATTAGATTGGAAGTCATACTAGACCATGTCGTCTAATCATATTACTGATTGTGGAACTTCATTGATTTTTGGAGGTCCATCAGTTTTTAATCATCAAACAGCAATTACAAAGACTTTTATTTTACCTCCTCATTATAAGCTGTAGTTTGATTTTAAGTTCTGGAGGTACATCATCATACTGATTTTAGACTTGATCCCTGGAGTGGATCATTTTACATTTTTTTTATAGATGGATACTAAGCATACAAAGACGGACCAAACACATCAACAGGAACTCAAATTTGTGGTAGTGGTACTGTTGGATAAGTTTATTCAATTAGTGACACCATAAGTCATAATGGTAACAGTGCTATAATTACAATTATTTCTCTGCAAGTTACAGCATCTTGGGGAATTTCCGATTTCGTATTATTTGTCTATAAGTGTCCAAAAGGATGTGATTACTGTGATATAAGTGGAAACTGTTAAAATTGGAACAGAATGCTAATATTTTTTAATAAAATCGTTTTAACAGATGGAGAGGGATGGAAAAGTGATTATGCTCTATTTAATGGGATTTAAGAGTGCGGAAGTACATGAAAAATATATTTAGGCTTTCATTATTATGGTAAATTTTAGATGAGCAAAATACTCTAAATTGTTTTATACTTATCTGATCCACACACAAAAGTTAGGATGTAGTTTAAATTTCTATGCGCATTTGTGACTGGATCTATTGTTATGAGATCTGAGGCTAATGGAGTAGAAATTTATAATGCCATACTTTCTGTTCCAAAAATTACTAATAATGATATTATTTGTGGTCCTTAATTTAGATTAGATAAAATTTTTTTAGGAGAAATTGTAAACAGCGACTAAACTTTGACTCTTACAATATAAATTGTTGAATCTCCTGATCCAGCAGACAGCACTCACTTTTTTGGTATTAGAGATTTTGAAGTTTTTACTGATGCAGAAAAGTAAGTATTTAATGAGGAAATTATTTGCAATGATGATAATATTTATGCATTTGATGGTTGCTTTTCCTAAATTTATGATTGTAATGAAGGTTGCAATTAATGTATCAAGGGTCTTTGTACTTAATGTTTATCTCATTGGACATTGAATACAATTTCAGGATAATGTAAGGCTAAATGTGGAGATTAAATAGTAGTCTCTGGAGAATAATGTGACGATGGAAACTAATAGCCTTATGATGGGTGCTATGAGTGCTAGTTTTCTTGCCCTTTAAATTGTAATATTTGTTAATTTGGAAATTGTTTGAATTGCAACCCATCATATTAATTAATTGGCAATCAATGTAAATTTATTTGTTTTCAAAATGAAAGTGAAAACTTAAGTTATTATTCAACTTAAAAAGAAGAAGGATATTATTGTTAAATTTCTAATTTCATAAGTAATATCTATATGCAACATGTATTAATATAAACAGAATTACAACCCTTGTATGACATTAATTAATGTAGCATAATAAATTATGGAATCTTTGCTTATTAATATTAGTTGTGTCCTTTTGAATAGCCTCAAAATTGTAAAATTTCCTTTTAAAATTAATGTTAAATTTGCGATGATCTTTTTGAATTATCTCAAAATCTCTTATGTATACCCATTTGTGGAAATGGAGTAACTTAAGAATATGAATCATGCGATGATGCTAACTTACAGATGTTTGATGGATGCTATTAATGCTAAAGCAGTTGCCAATTAGAATGCTTAGAATGTAATAGTTCTTAATGTTTTAAATGCATGGAAGGCTGGAATTTAGTTAACTTTAAATGTTTCTCAGAGTGTGGAGATGGTATAATCGCTTTGCTTTAATATGAATAATGTGATGATTAAAATAATGAAAAAAATGACGGATGTTTTGAATGTAAATTTGAGTGCTCTTAAAATTGTCAATTTTGTAACCAAAATTTAGGTTGTTTCTAATGTTAGAAGTATTTTGAACTTTAAAATAAAGTTTGCACTCCTCTATGTGGAGATGGAATAGTTATCGAAGGATTTGAATAATGCGATGACGGCAATGATATTGAATATGATGGTTGTCATTAATGCTAATTTTCATGCAAAGAAAATTGTTAAATATGTGATCAATAAAACTGTATGGATATTCAAATATAATAATGTGAAGAAGATGGATATTACTTAATTGATAGTCAATGCCTTACAATTTGTGGAGATCTAATAATTGCATCTAATGAGTAATGTGATGATGATAATGAAATCCCCTTTGATGGGTGTTATTAATGTTAATTTTCTTGTCCATTGAATTGCTATGATTGCGATAATGGATAATGTTTATAATGTGATGACGGTTATCAAATCAAGAATAATTTATGTATTGGAATATGTGGGGATGGTTCTAAGTAAGAAATTGAGGAATGCGATGATTTTAATCAAATTTCTCATGATGGTTGTTCTGACAATTGCGAAATTGAGATTAATTGGGCATGCACATAGATAAATTTTCAAACAAGCTAGTGCGTTGAGACCAAACCTCCTCATTTCAATCTATTATTCATAAATCAAACTTATGACTCACAATTTATATAACTATAAATTACGAGCAAAGTCAAATTACAAAATTCTTATTAAAACTTGACAAAAAATTTAAAGACCTTTCTTGTTGATGTAAATCCCTTGTATTATATGATCTATTCATAAGTAGTAGTTGAACCAAATGCTACTTTTTTATAAGATATTAATTACTTGTTTTAGATAAAATTGCTAAAGCAAGTAACAACAGAGATTTACTTTTAAGTTTAATTAGATACACTATTAATTGATGATTTTGGATTCTAAGTAGAAAATTAATTTTGCAAATTACGATTAAAGAACCCTATTGTCTTAAGCGAGTAATAAAGGATAGTATCCCATAAAATGAGCTAATTAAACATGTATATACTCATTGGCCTTGGTGTAGCTAGCTTTTTTATTTTACTGTCTGGTAACCCTGTTGAATGTTTTGAGGTCTTAGATACGATGTAGTATTAAGCTAATCTAAAATACATAAATTCGAATTTTCCAGAGAATGTCATGATTTATTTTGAATCTTCAGAAGTAGTAACTATCAGGCCAATTTTGGAAAAATTAAAGCTTCTCAATTTTTTTGATGGTGTAATAGGGTAGGACTATATGCCAGCATTTGGAAAGTTTCTATTTTATGATGTGAATTCAGATTTAATCACTAACATATCAGGATTGATTGTATAAGTTTTTATGGCCTTACTATTTTTTGTTATTTCCAAGATTTATTTAAAGATTCTTTTTAACAATTTTTATAACTAATTCAGAGCATTCATTTACAACAATTAGAAGTCTTTTCTTCCTTAAAAATTGGCCTTTTTGATTCATAAACTTAATCAATTAAGCTTTGGGATTTATTAAATGATATCAATTAAGGGGATTATTTATCTCATCAAAGCTAATAGTTGGGACCTACTTTTTAAGACTCTTTTGTATCTCTTTTCTGAAAAGGAGAGTAATTTAAGAAATAGATTATCAAACATGCTTGCATACTCCTTTTTAATTAGTATTTTAATATTAATTTCCTCCATATTTTCAATAAAAGATTCATAAATGGAATTGAAGAAAAGGAAACATTATTCGCATGAAGGCTTGATAGTTGCTAAAAAGTTTTTATTTGTTTTAGTATTAATTGAAGCTTAAAAAAGCTAATTAACGCAATCAATTTTGCTATCATTGATAAATTCTTCCTATATAACAATTATTGTTTTAGGTAAAATGGTCAACGAAAAGATTTGATTTAATGATAATATTGATTTTTGAAATACCAGTTATTTTTTTTTACTCTACTAAATAATTTGTTATTGAAGAAACTTACGCGCATTTTTTGAAGTTA